AGCTAGAGGTACTCGATAAGACAAAGCAACTCACAGAACTACTAAGCAGAGGCGGTTTCACTCTCCACAAATGGGCCAGCTACTGCAAAGAATTACTTGAAATGCTCTCACAACAAAAAGGAGAATGCAATGAGACATTCTTTTCAGACGGTTTAGGGGTTGTTAAAGCTCTTGGCTTAATATGGAAGCCAGATGATGTATTTAAAATAACAACACCAGAACAATTGTCATCAGTTTATACTAAAAGAAATATTTTATCATTCATTGCACAAATATTCGATCCATTGGGATTAATTGCAAATATTGTGGTGAGAGCTAAAATGATAATGCAAAATATTTGGAAAGAAAAGACAGAATGGGACGATAAGGTCTCTACAGAAGTCGTTGAACAATGGAAATCATTTCATCAAGAATTACCTATATTAAATGAACTATATATTCCAAGATATATTTTGAATATAAAAGGAGAGTTAAAAGACTTACAGTGCCATGGGTTTGCGGATGCTTCGATGGCAGCATATGGGGCTTGTATATATGTGAGAAGTATGTACCCTGATAAGACTCTGGTGAATTTACTATGTGCTAAATCTAAGGTAGCACCAACCAAAAACAGCACTTTACCACGACTAGAATTATGCGCAGCAGTGTTATTAGCAAGACTCTATAAACATGTATGTGATGTAATAAACATTAAATTCACTAGCTCGCATCTATGGAGTGACTCTACAATAGTGCTGGCATGGTTAAACACCGACAGCAGTAACTTGAAAATGTTCGTAGGAAACAGGGTGGCTGAAATCCAAGAGATCACATCAGGAGCAAAGTGGAATCATGTGGCATCTCCAGATAATCCGGCAGATTTAGTATCTAGAGGAATGACGGTTCAGGAGATCACACAATCCAAATTATGGTGGAATGGGCCCTCATGGCTCTCACTACAAGATAGTAATTGGCCAGTAACGGAAGTAGTAAAAACATCTCCAATTCCAGAGCAAAAGGCAGTACTTCACATTAATACATGCACAACTAACCCAGAATTTGCAACAATATACACAAAATTTTCTAAATTTCATAAACTAATGCGTGTTGTAGCTTATTGCCTCAGAATAAGAAAGAAATATAAAAGACTGCGTTCCCTGGATAATATTACAGCACTAACTGTTGCAGAGTTAGAAAACGCTCAGCAGATAATAATTAGAGAAACACAACAGGAAGTTTACAGGAGCGTCGTTGAAGAACTAAGGAGCAAGGGTAGCTCAGAGTTTAAGACAGCTCAAGAGCTAAAACCATTAAATCCATTTGTTGATGCGGAAGGACTTCTGCGAGTAGGTGGTAGATTGGAGAACTCACAGTTACCTTACTCACAAAAACATCCAATAATTCTTCCAAAGAGACATTACATAACACGACTGCTGTTGCGACAGGAGCATGTAAGATTATTACATGCTGGTACTCAAGCCATCTTGATTAACATACGGCAAAAATACTGGCCTATAAATGGAAGAAACATCATCAAAGGAATAATCAAAGAGTGCACAATATGTAGGCGCTTTCAAGCAGCACAAAGTCAACAGCTAATGGGATCGTTACCTGCTGATCGAGTGACAAGTAAAAGACCATTTCTTGCTGTAGGTGTGGATTATGCTGGTCCCATTGAGTTGAGAGCAAGCCGACTGCGCAAAGCACCAAGAATAAAAGCGTACATAGTGGTATACATTTGCATGTCCACTAAAGCAGTACACTTAGACTTAGTCACGGAATTATCAACTGCAGCCTTTTTGGATTCATTGAAACGCTTCGTGTCACGAAGAGGTGTGTGCCAAACCATATAACAGTGATAATGGAACCAACTTCGTAGGCGCCAGTAATGAATTAGATAGACTCTACAAGTATTTTAAAAATAATATTAATAAGAAAGAACTCATTGAGAGTGTGTCAACCATTGGAATAACATGGAAATTTATACCGTCACATACACCCCATTTTGGATGACTATGGGAACGGAACATTAGAACAATGAAGCATTATTTAAATAGGGTTATTGGTTCAACCTGTTTAACTTATGAAGACTATTTAACTTTCTTGAATCAAGTAGAAGCCATAATGAATTCAAGACCCATTATCCCATTAAATGATGATAGTACCGATTCTGTGTTTTTAACCCCGAGTCACTTTCTTATAGGTGATATTATGACTGCTATTCCTGAACCCGTAGTAGATAGTACTGCCCTAAAAAATAAATTAAACATACATAAACAGCTAAATGCGATGAGAGATAGGTTTTGGACCTTGTGGTCCACGGCATATTTAGCAGAGCTACAGAAGCGGGCAAAATGGACAGCATCCTTGGACAACCTAGCAGTTGATATGGTAGTCCTAATAAAAGAGGACCATGTCGCACCATTACACTGGCCAGCAGGTCGGATAGTCAGCGTCACGAAGGGCAAAGATGGCAAGGTTCGGGTGGCCACTGTCAAAACCACTCAAGGATTATATGTGCGACCTATTGTGAAATTGATACCTCTAATTGATATAGACAATAGTTAAGTGTGTGAATTTAGCTTAGAAATGAAATGAGATATTTAAGACTAATTTTTAAAACCAATAAATAAATTTAACATTAGAATTAGGTTAAGTTGACACAGTATTGAGGTTTAGTAAATTATGTCAATATGATAAAATATAAAATTCATATTATACTCAACTGTCAAATGAAGTACCTAGCACTAAGTTTGTATATATATCTTAGTCTAAATGAATGTAACTAAAAATGTCTTATTATAGTTATTTGCTTGTGACATTGTATAACTTGACATGTAACATGTAACATAATGTCATTCTTTGCGCCCGCAGGATGTTAAATATTCATATTAACAGTAGCGCCATCTAGTTCTTTACTATGTACTAAGTGAATATTTTTTAGGTTTTATATATTGGTACCATTGTAAAATTATTCTAGATTCCTTTTATATCCGTTTTTAGGATTCATTCTGATTTGAGCCTTGTGAGAATAAAATAGTAAGTTTGATAGTAAATATGTGTTTCCTTTTTTAAGTGTTTGATATTTCCTAAACCTTTTACATATGTATATATATATATATATATATATATATATATATATATATATGTATGTATGTATATATATGTGCATGTACATATGTATATATGTGTGTATGTATATGTGTATATATACATGTTTATGCGTATATGTATATTAGGGTGGTCCTTAAAATGGTCATTTTCGAATTTCATTGCTCCCAGGAGCTCAAATGTTTCCAAATAGATAAAAAACAGTTCTCTGAAAGTTTTAGCTCTTAATATTAACGTTTAGATAGAGCGCAATTCAATCAAAGTTTTGTATGGAAATAGCATGAAAAAATTTTAAAAATGTATTTTATATGTAATTTAGCGAACAAATGAATGAATAAAACTCATTCATTTGTTGCTAAGTTATACCTAAAACATTTTTTTTAAATTTTCAAAATTTTTTACATGCTCTTTTCATACGAAGTTTGATTGAATTGCACTCTATCTAAACGTTAATATTAAGAGCTAAAACTTTCAGAGAATTGTTTTTTATCAATTTGGAACCATTTGAGCCCCTGCGAGCAAGGAAATTCGAAAATGACCATTTTAAGGACCACCCTAATATATATATATATATATATATATATATATATATATATATATATATATATATATGAGTGAGTTCTTGAGGCCGATACATCAAACAAAGAAAAGGCAAAGATTTATAGAATAATCTTTAATTCCAAACGTTTCGACATTCAATTTAATGTCATCATCAGTGGATCTAAAAACAGTATGAAAATTAGTATATCTAGGTAATTATAATATATGTGGATTGGTATAGTAACTATACAATAAGAGAAAAATTAACAAACAGCAACACTTAACAACAAACAAAATATAAAAGATAAGAAAGGTAATAGAGACTAGAATTAAATAAATAATTAAAAAATATAGGCAAAAATATATAAGTACACTCATATAAACCTACGCATATATACATATATATACATACACATATATACACATATACATATATACATATATATATACACATACATATATATATATACATACATACATACATATATACATACACATATATATATATACATATACACACATGCAAACATATAATACACATATACATATACAAATACAACAATATATATCTATATATGTACACATATACATGTACGACTATACATATATAATTATGCGCATATACATGTATGTAACGTGCATGCATATTCACAACGACGTACATGACATGTATGAAACATACATATACTCATACCTATCTATGTAACTATAGCTATACACGTATCATATACATTAGGGTGGTCCTTAGAATGGTTATTTTCGAACTTCTTTGCTCCCAGGGGCTCAAATGGTTCCAAATAGATAAAAAACAATTCTCTGAAAGTTTTAGCTCTCAATATTAACGTTTAGATAGAGCGCAATTTAATCAAACTTCGTATGGAAAGAGCATGGGAAAAATTTTGAAAATTAAAAAAAAATGTTTTAGGTATAACTTAGCGACAAATGAATGAGTTTTAATCATTCATTTGTTCGCTAAATTACATCTGAAAAACATTTTTAAATTTTTTCATGCTATTTCCATACAAAACTTTGATTGAATTGCGCGATAATTTAAGAGCGTAAATTAAACGTTAATATTAAGAGCTGAAACTTTCAGAGAATTGTTTTTTATCTATTTGGAACCATTTGAGCCCCTGGGAGCAAGGAAATTCGAAAATCACCATTTTAAGGACCACCCTAATATATATATATATATATATATATATATATATATATATATATATACATAATTATATATAAAGAGAAAGTGAGAAAGTGGTATATTCAGTGGTATATATATATATATATATATATATATATATTAATTTTCATAATAAATTATAATGAGTTAGAAGTGATTTTATTGAAATATACACATTGTATTATCTAATATGGAAACTTAAAATTCAGCTACGATTATATCTGTTCCCCCAACCGCGTCTATGTTCGTCTTTGTATTCATCCATAGCACGAGCTCGGTTTAAAGCATTTACGTCATCTGAATCTTCTAGCACGTCCTTATACAAAAAATGGATAACATAAACAAATTTTCTTACTATTTTTGAATTTTATTTAAAGCAATAATTACTTTTTCTTCATCAATATTCAACTGTGCAGCCTCCCTATCTTCATCTTTTATTTGATGTAATGACTTTGGGTTATTTATAACAGAACTCTGATTAGGATCAGGAAATCTAAAATTATCCTCATTATTATAACTTGATAATTATATTACGTATGAGAGAACATATATGGAAAACCAGTATATAAATAAATATATATTTTACAGTAGCAATTTCTTTGTTCATGGTGTTTAAATAAATACTTACACTCCATCCCTGACTCTTTGGTCATAAAACTCTTGTACTGTATATGTCGGTAGACTGGGGTACCCAGTCCCGTACACTGCTTTTTGTAGTTCATCTTTAGTAATAATAACTGGTTTTAATATTTTACAAGGCGAAACCTTTCTCCTTGTTTGACTACTTTTAGATTCAGTATCCTCTACAAAATAAAAAGCTGCACAATATATGATTAAAATCCATTGTAAATCATAATAACAATACCTTCAAAGGCCTTTTTCATATGTTCCAAAATTTGTTTTTCCATTGATAAACTATCCAGCTCATCTTTAGCTTTAATCACATATGTTTTTATTATTGTTACGTAATACTCTCTTCTAGTATCTTCATCAACTGTTTCAAAATTCATATATTCCTGCAAAATCTTCAAACGGCTTTCTAGCTCCTTTTGCTCTCGAAATTTTTGTAATTTTGCATTTCGTGACCCAATCTAACAGAAACAGTAACACTTGATATCTATTGATAATATTATTCAATAATGTAACATTATTATTACCATTGTAGCAAGATGAGCATGTTGTCCTGACCCAGAATCTATAGATATTGAGGTGGCTGTTGCTTCAGTACCTGATAAACCATAATCTGAACAACGTTTTAAAAAATCCCTGAAATAAATATCTGCGACATCCACTATTTCTGATCTATTGCCACCACATAATTTTAAACTTAATTCTCCAAGAAATGCAGGTAATAATAAATAACGAAGGTGCTCTGTTGACAGTTCATCAAATCTCTCATTTGTACTGAAAATATCAGCTGCGCTGACGAGTCTTGTGGTATCTTCAAAGAGTCGCATGCAACGCTTAACCTTTGCCTGTCAATTAAACATGAACTAATATTTAATAATTTTACCTAAACAAGTTTCAGCTATTAACTAAATCTCAACCTGAAAGGATGTTTCATTCATAGGATCGGAGCAATTATCAAAACCGTTGAATAATGCAAAAGCCTCTTCGAACATGTCAGATAAATTAGTTTCGTCGGAAATTTCGGCAGCGCATGTGGCCATTGATCAGAACTTGATTTGAAATTCACACTGGTTTATAAGATTCTCACTTAATTATTGTATGGACATTATAAATTTAGTTTTTTTTCTTTAATTTTTTACAACAAATATAATGTTTTACGGTTTCAAGCTTGGTAGAACTGTCATATTGACAGGTGTGTTCGGAGTGGCAGTTTGTGACGATCCACAACTCATTCTGATTTGTTACACTGCGCATGAGCCATCTCATGACAGTTTCCAACGATTTGACAGGACGGTTTACATCGAACGAGACGAATCTGCCAAGAGTTCATTCGAATGTCTTCGGTATAGTTCGTTTCGTGGTTCTGTTTATTTGCTCAGTTTAACTAAAGTAAAATTATTAAATGTTCAATGTGTTTCATGGAGAGAGTTTAACATAATGAGTGACAACGAGTTTTTTATGAATTTTTGCAGAACGATGAGGAGGAGTTAGATTTTTTAGAGTTTGTTCAAGTTCCAAACGATGAAGAATATATTGGTAAGTATCAGTTATTATTTATTATTTACCCTTAACCTACGAGTGAACGACATCCACTTGACTACCTGTATATCATAGATAATTAAGCATACCTGTATATATCGTCCATGGGCGCCATGTTTTGTGTCAATATTTATCATTAAATTATTATAGTTTATTCAAATACGGATATTTAATTTTTTGCACATTTTTATTGATTATAATAAAAATATCTTAAAATATCGTAGCGAAGGGTTAAGTAGTCAGCTATCAGTATTAAGAACTGTTAATACTGATAATAATAATAATATTTCATAAGTGCAATTTAATCAGTTTTGTAGTTTCATTTCGACAGAAAAAGTGGTGCCATTGTTTGATGACAAACAATTTCTCGAGCACTTCAGAATAAGCAAAACAACGTGTTCTAATAGATCAGAAATATATGAAGATAGTAAATATCATAACAAAATTAACATTTGAACAAATCTGTGCATTTAATCAGGTAAAAAAATTACTATAATTGACAAACCAGTAAAATCACAATTAATTACATATTATTTTAGATACTAATATTTTTTTGGTTTGCGGGACACCAAACATCCAGCCATAGGGATGTCAGTGATCGTTTTAATATAACGTTAGGTACTTCACATGGAATAGTGCAAAGGGTTGCTTTCTTTTTAAGCAATTTATCTCCAAAATTTATTAAATGGTCGGGTGATGAGGAAAAGTTAGTGGTTGCCGCAGAATCTGCCAAAAATGATTTTTTAAATGTAATTGGAGCAATTGACGGTTGTCACATTCGAATAGATAATCCGATAGAGGATCCAAATTCATATATGAACCAAAAAGGATTTTACTCAATTCATGTACTGTTCTTTATCTACTTGCATCTTTATGTGTTTTACCGTTTTCTAGTTTACAATTATATATATTTTACAGATTCAGGCAGTTTGTGATGACCAAAAGAAAATTATAGATGTGTGCATCGGAAATCCTGGTTCTGTTCATGATGCCAGAATATTTCGAAAATCAAAATTGGGCTCAAATTTGATTAAAAAATGTGGACATTTTATTTTATTAGGAGATAATGGCTACACACTAAATGCAAAGTTGATAACACCTTATAAAAATATTCATGGCCTTACAGTAATTCAGAAAAATTTTAATAAAAAACTCAGCAGTAATCGAATTAAAATTGAGCATACATTCGGTATGCTAAAACAAAAGTTCAAACAACTATATCATTTAAAACTAAGAAATATTACTTTTATTTGTCACTTTATAAGAGCTTGCTGCGTTTTATATAATATGAGTCTCACTGATGAATTTGAATATTTGCAAATAGAAGATGAAAATAATGAGACCTCGGATAATGTGGCAAATTTTGATGCTTCAATATTAAGGGATCAAATAGCAGCTAATTTACCATTATAGGCCTAATTAGACAAAACCTATATTATTTATTCATTTATTCATAAACAATCCTTAATCAATAATAATAAATATTATTTCAGACTCTTGTCAAGTACTTATAATGTATTATTCTATGAATAATACATTATAAGTATTAAAAAAAAAATGAATTAATAAATTAAAATCAGGCATTTATATTGTATAATGATTTATGAATATTATTTTATTTTAAAGCATTCTATACTTTTGTTTTAGAATTTCCAATTTTGCTTCTTCAATTTGAATAATTCCTTCTTGGAACTTCAATCAGGCTTCAATCTGTCTTCTCTCATATAGATCTATATGCGAGAAGACATATAGCTATGGCGCTGCCATAGATAAGTAAATATAAATAGATCGCTATCTCAGGCCATTTGACATAACCTCCATTTTATTTTTTTCAGCGATCTGAAGGAGGCAGCACTTGTAAGTATATAAAATAACCAATGTCATTATTCCTAGATATGGTTTGCATACGTAATTCAAAATAAGAAAACCTAAATAATTTCTTATATTAGAAATGAGAATAAAAACATAAAAAGTACAAAAATTATTATCAAATATATCACAAACATTTTTACATAACAATTAAATTTTTATAAATGTTTTAATTATTATACATAATAATAAATATTATAATTTTACAATTATAAGTAACTAAAAAAAAGTATTCACAATGGAATGATAAATTTACAAGGAACGATAAATATGAATTACATAATGATCAGCAATATATAACAACTACACAGAGATTGTGTAGGAGCATTTACAATAAAATGATAAACTCAAAAGAAATAACTTAATGATCAACAATATATAACAACTACACAGAAATTGTGTAGGAGCATTTATAATAAAATGATAAACTTAAAAGGTACGATCAATATGAATTACTTAATGATCAACAATATATAACAACTACACAGAAATTGCGTAGAAGCATTTACAATAAAATGATAAACTTAAAAGGAACGATCAATACGAATTACTTAATGATCAACAATGTATAACAACTACACAGAAATATTGTAAAAGCTTTCATAAGTATAACAAATTTACACGAACTGACTAATATTAATTTCTTAATGACTAATAATAATATATTAAAAAGATAAAAACTTAGAAGAGAAAAGTATAGAGCCTAAGTATGTAGTATATAGAGTAATGCCTTCGGTGTCAAGCACTCCTATCCTTAGTCACTACCATAGATAAACAAGTATAATAGATCGCTATGTTGGCGGTTTGACGTTACCTCGATTGAAATATAAATTTTTAAAAATAGATGGCAGCACATGTATAATATTTTAATTACCCCTGGTTTTACTTCTTAATTTGTACGTATCGTATACAGCCCCAAAAACCTGAATAATTTTTAATATTGGAAATAAGAACAAATCATACGAAATACAAAATATATATTTTCAAAGATATTACATATGTTTAAAGAACAATTAAAATTATGTTTATATTAACAATTATAATTACAGTTATGGAATGTTTGAAAATATAATAATTATTATACATAATTATAAAAGTATTATAATTTCACAATTATGCTTAAATAATATTTCAAAAACTAAATATCTAAGTGAAGAAAATCACAGAAGTATTTAACTAAACTAAGCACAAATAACTGACTAATATTAATTACTTAATGACTAATATTTATTTATTTATTTTTTTTTTATTTATTTATTTATTTAACGCCCAAGGCAATAATACAATATAATTACATTCTAAAGTGTACAAATTATAAACTAAAGATAATATGAGAAAATTTGAGTATTAAGAATTCATATATAGATTTGTAAATATACATAACACTTAATATATATAAACTACAAATATAAAACATTAAATAGAAACTAATAAAATTAAACATTTAATAAAAACTAATAAAATTAAACACTTAATAAACTATAAATCACTACTTAAGACAGTCTTGAAGGATTATTTTTCTGGCATGATTTTTTATATTCGACACCGACAGACCAAATATATCAATCTCAGAAGCAAATTCATTTATTACTTTCGAAATTCTGAATATGGGTGCGCGTGAAACAAATTTGGTTTTAACAGTGGGTATTTCTAAAGTTCTATTGTAACGTAACCTAACATTAGGTATAACAAATTTGAATCGTTCAAGAAGTTCAGGCACATCTAAAGCACCTTTCACAATATTTACTCCATAGCAGAAGGTGAGGTATTTTCGTCTAGCATCGAGTGGCGTAATGTTTAGATGGTTGTACATTTGGGACCGACTTATCTGAATATTATTCTTATATCGGCGGAATCTTATATGGTTGACAAATTTTTTCTGGACAGATTTAATTCTGTCAATTTGATATTGGTAAATCGGGTCCCAAATTATACACCCATACTCTAAAATTGGTCTAACTAAGGTATCAAATAGTACACTCAGGGTAGCATCATTTTTAAAATCTCCACTGTTTCTGAGCAGACCACCGAGTATACTATTTGCCCTCGACACAATATTGTTCAAGTGACCATCGAATGCTAGCCTTCTATCTATATATACTCCCAAGTCACGAATACCATCTACCTGCGGAAGTACTTCTTCTGCTATGAAATAACGATGATTAGAGTGGCTTTCACTGCCGCGACAAAATTTAATGACTGCGCATTTACTAACATTCAGTTTAAATTTATTTAATTCACACCATCTAAATAAACGATTTAGGTCTTCCTGGAGTGCACACAAATCACTTTCGTTCCTTATGCCTCTGTATATTTTAGAGTCATCCGCAAATAATGAAAACTCAGACGAGAAACCATTGCCAATGTCGTTCACAAATATACAAAATAACAACGGTCCAAGATGAGATCCTTGTGGCACTCCTGAAGAGACTGTAAATTCATCTGAAATGGAGTCAATTAATTTCACCCGTAGTTTCCTACCTCTTAAATAGGTTTCAAACCAATTATATAACCGGCCAGAAATCCCATATTTATTAAGCTTCATCAAGAGCACATCATGATTAACCAAATCGAAGGCTTTACTGAAGTCTGTGTATATAGCGTGTGTTTCCATTCTGTTCTCAAGTTGATGCATTATATATTCCACATATGTCATGAGATTAGTAGTTGTAGACCTGCCCTTTATAAAACTATGTTGTTGATTAATTAGAGTGCTTCTAAACCAAAATTCTATTCTACTATAAATTAATTTTTCAAATAATTTGG